CACACACACACACACACACACACACACACACACACACACACACACACACACACACACAACACACACTACACACACACACCCTCACCACACACACACACACACACACACCACACACCCTCACCACACACACACACACACACACACACCCTCACACACACACACACACACACACACACACACACACACACACACACACACACACACACACACACACACAACGTACTTGCGCACACACACACACACACACACACACACACACACACACGTGCACGCGCACACACACGCACGCACGCACAACATACAGCAGGCCTAGTGTCTAATCGACATGTGCCTAGGACAAAATGGTAACTAACACACACACACACACACACACACACACACACACACACACACACACACGCACGCACGCATATACAACAGGCCTAGTGTCTAATCGACATGTGCCTAGGACAAAATGGTAACTAACAGAGAGACAGACAAACACACACTTACACATATACTTTACAACAGGCCTAGTGTCTAATCGACATGCGCCTAGGACAAAATGGTAATTAACACACACACACACACACACACACACACACACACACAGTCACGGGTCAGTCCTAGGACCTGTTCTGTTCTTGGTATATGTGAACGACATAACGGAAGGGATAGATTCAGAAGTGTCCTTGTTTGCAGATGATGCGAAGTTAATGAGAAGAATCAAATCGGACGAGGATCAGGCAGGACTACAAAGAGACCTGGACAGGCTACAAGCCTGGTCCAGCAACTGGCTCCTTGAATTTAACCCTGCCAAATGCAAAGTCATGAAGATTGGGGAAGGGCAAAGAAGACCGCAGACACAATATAGTTTAGATGGCCAAAGACTGCAAACCTCACTCAAGGAAAAAGATCTGGGGGTGAGTATAACACCGAGCATATCTCCTGAGGCACACATCAATCAGATAACTGCTGCAGCATACGGGCGCCTGGCAAACCTACGGATAGCGTTCCGATACCTCAGTAAGGATTCGTTTAAGACTCTGTATACCATCTACGTCAGGCCCATACTGGAGTATGTAGCACCAGTTTGGAATCCACACCTAGTAAAGCACGTCAAGAAATTAGAGAAAGTGCAAAGGTTTGCAACAAGACTAGTCCCAGAGCTACGGGGATTGTCCTACGAAGAAAGGTTGAGGGAAATCGGCCTGACGACACTGGAGGACAGGAGGGTCAGGGGAGACATGATAACGACATATAAAATACTGCGCGGAATAGACAAGGTGGACAAAGACGGGATGTTCCAGAGATGGGACACAGACACAAGAGGTCACAATTGGAAGTTGAAGACTCAGATGAATGAAAGGGATGTTAGGAAGTATTTCTTCAGTCATAGAGTAGTCAGGCCTGGAAAGCCAAAAAAGGATTAGTGGGGCGGGAAAACCATAATAGTTTTAAGGCGAGGTATGATAGAGCTCATGGGGCAGGGAGAGGGGGACCTGTAGCAATCAGGAAGAGGGGGGGCCAGGAGCTGTGACTGACCCCTAACAAAAATAGGTGAGTACAAATAGGTGATTTAACAACACACCCCAACACATGCACACGCACACGCATGCACGTACACTATGCAACAGGCCTAGTGCTAATGACAGTGCCTTGGACAAAAGGAAATTTAAAAACCCCATTTTTCAAGAATCCACAAGCGCAGTGTTTGGAAAAAGTGTCCGGGATTGTACATATGTATTATATTTGAAAATAGTAATAAACATTTTTTTATATTGTTTGTTTTTGTAAAAATATGATGATGCTGTGTTTTTGTGTAATTGTGTTACATTCAAAAAATTATATATAAACTTGCATATATTTTTGGTCTCAAGGCCACATAAGTTATATGAATAAAAAAAAATAGTAAAAAAAAAAAAAACCTTTAATGAAAGTAAACCGAATTTTTACCGGGTGAGTGGCTTCCCACTGTTGCCAACCGGCTTTTTTTGCAACTTTACCCCTCTATCCCTCGGAAACTGATCAAAATTTTTTTTGAGGGGTTTAAAAAACAGTCAGAAAATTAATTTTAACATTTTATAGTACGTATTGTGAACTTTTTTTGTACTTCTTTTCTTTTTCTAAAGTAAAAGGAAACAAGTAAAACTAATGGACTTTTTTATTGGGGGCAACTTTTTGCCCCCAGGAGTTTTAATAAGCCGTTAAAAACAGTACATGGACAAAAGGGGTATATACAGTGGACCCCTTTTTAACAAACACCTCCAATGCACAATTATGTAAGTGTACAGTGGACCCCCCTTAAAATTTTAATCCCTGCAAGAGGGTAATTGTTTATGCAAAAAAAAACGTTATGTGAATGAATTTTCCCCATAAGAAATAATGGAAATAAAAATTAAACCGTGCAAGACACCCAAAAGTATGAAAAAAAAAAATTTTCCCCTGAAAATACATTTTCCCCACACAAAGAAAGGGTACATGCACAATAGTAGAGTAGTACATGCCCTTATATTTTTGCATGTATAGTCTACTAAATGAAGAATAAATGACACTTCCCTTTTTTGAAAATGCAGCAATGACTGATGGGGACACTGTGTCCTGGGAGTGCCTTTTCCTCCTGAGTACTGTAGGTCCTGTTTGGCATTTTTTCCAGAACAGGCCTTATCACACTGTGTATGCCACTACGATTCTTAAATCTCTCAAACCAACCTTTGCTGGCTTTAAATTCACCAATATGAGCACTAGTTCCAGGCATTTTTCCCTGTTCACCTGGGTGTTAGTCGACTTGTGTGGGTTGCATCCTGGGAGATAAGATTAAGGACCCCAATGGAAATAAGTTAGACAGTCTTCGATGACACTGACTTTTTGGGTTATCCTGGGTGGCAAATCCTCTGGGGTTAATTGTTTCTTGGTATCTCAATAAGCCACACCACAACGGTGCTACAGCAGCAGCAGCTGCTGACAGTGCAGCAGCAGCAGCAGCTGACAGTGCAGCAGCAGCAGCAGCTGTACCACCAATAGTAGCGATGGTTGATTGGGGTTTATTATACAACCTGGCCAGCTCGGAGACATGCACTCCACTTTCATACTTATCAATGATCTTTTTCTTCATCTCTATTGTAATTCTCACCCTTATTGCTGTAGGGTTGTCACTAGAAGCTTTCTTGGGGCCCATGGTCACTTATTTTCCAGAAAAAGCACCGAAAACACTGTAATAATACGAAATATTCCGATTGTATGCTTGGATGTTACCGCGGAGGCTGGCTGGTAAACAATGCCACCGGCGGAACATGTGAGCGCGTCTCGGAAGAAAATCGGTAAGCGGGTTTTTAAGCGGTATGTGAGGCAAAATTTTTGCAATTAAAGTAAGCGGTATGCGAAATAATCGCTATGTGATGCCATCGTTATGCGGGGGTCAACTGTATTTATGTAAGTGTGTTTGTACGTGTATGTTTGGGGGTCTGAAATGGACTAATCTACTTCACAATATTCCTTATGGGAACAAATTCGGTCAGTACTGGCACCTGAACATACTTCTGGAATGAAAAAATATCGTTAACCGGGGGTCCACTGTATATGCTCAGAGTGAGTGAGGTGTAATACTAGTGGTAGTAGTAGTAATACAAGTTGTAATAGTAGTAGTAATACTTGCACATGAGTAAAAGGTTATAAAAGCTATTACTTGGGTAACACAAAAATAGGTTAGACAACACCACTCCTAACAAATTTATAATCCTTCCCAACAGCCAGGTTGCATTGAACATTTCCAAGGTACTCGCACAAACTAACACTAGAGTTGCCATCACATCCAGCACTTCCATAAGGGATCTAACTAGGACAAAATTGATCTACCATGAACCAGTCAGTGCAGGAGTTTACATTATACCTTGTGGAGGCTGTGACAAGATATATGCAGGTGAAACAGCTAGGAACCTCGAAACATGCCTTAGTGAACACATTAATGCATGTAGGAATGATAACTTGAACAATGCCTGCATACAACAATGGAATTCCACCAATCACCTCATGAAATTCAGCGACGCCCGACTAGTAATCAGAGAGCCAAATTACCATATTGTATTACTACTACTACTATTACAACTTATATTACTACTACTACTACTACCACTAGTATTACACCTCACTCTGAGCCTATATATACCCTCTGTGCCCATGTATTGTTTGTAACGGCTTGATAAAGCTCCTGGAGAGTGAGACGTTGCCACAATAGAATGTCACATTAGTTGCACTTGTGTCCTTTTACTTTACAAATTGTCAGTAATTCTACCAACATTAATACATTCTTCCATTTTCCTCTCTTTCCTCTTCCAAGTGCTGCTGCTGCACTTCTGTCTTGTACTATGGGGTGCACAGGCAAGTATAAATTTATTGATGAAATACTGAGATTCATCACTAACCCCTTTACAATGAACTTCTATTGTACTTCTTCCATTTTCCCCTTCCAAGTGCTGCTGCACTTTTATCTTGTACTATGGGGTGCACAGTCAAGTACAAATTTGTACAAATGTGTAGTCTTGGAGACTTCAAACGCTAGTGTACTGAGTGGCTGTAAGAAAGAGATTGAGATACAAGACCCTGAGGCACTGCGCTTCCCGTTTCCGTGACCCAAGTTCTCGTATGGCGTACAATTCTGACTTGTCGGAGAGCCCGTCATAACTCCGAGTTGTCAGTAAACGAGTACATCAGTAAGTGAGGAGAGGCTGTATTGTAATAAACAGAATAAATGAAATCAGCTCTAATGCACATTATTTAAGTACGCATAATGGTCAGAGAGCCCATCATAAGTCTGAGTCATCAGTAAACGAGTACGTCACTGAGAAGAGACTGTAGTTTAAAAAATATAATGTAACATTTATTGACTAGTTTTAATATTCATGATCTTATTTTGCAATTTTTACTTAGATCTAGTTAATTGGGAGTTTACCAAACAGTACTGTATGCACTTCTAAACTCTAGTGTGGCAAATACATTAGTTAATATTTTTTATGTTTTTGCAGCGAGCAGAGTGTGTGCAGTGCGCGTGCCTCTGTCATGATATACGATGATGTCAACAAAAAGTGGCTACCATCCGGCACATCAACTGGGCTCTCCAAAGTGCACATCTACCAGCATACTGTAAATAACACCTTCAGAGTGGTGGGCAGGAAACTTCAGGACCATGAGGTGAGGACAGGTGTTTTGCCATCTCATATATGATTTCTATAGACACCTATTGTAATATGTCACTCATCATTATTATGAAAAGTTTTGCATATTTCATCATCAGACTTTCTAAAAATTTTGATATAACTCACCAGTTGTCTCCCATGAAAATGTAGTGACTCAATAAAGGAAACATATTCACTATCATTTTTTAGTCCTATTTATATACATACTGTTGGTTTATTATGCTATTGAATTACCATAATAAATGCAATAACTAACAGAAGTCAACATGAATGTTAAAATTTGATGACATATACATAGTGCTGTAAGTCAACCTTATAACATTTAAAATTAACAGAGTTCAGCCTAAATAACCACAGCTTCAAGTGGAGGTTAAGTCAAGTTACAGCAAAATTAAGGATAGATAATATCCTTGCTGCTTCTCTAATATTTCATGGTACAGTGGAACTCTGATTTTCGTACTTAACCCATTCCAGAAGGTTGGTCTAAATCCAAAACGTATGAAAACCGTATTAATATTTCCCATAAGAAATAATGTAAATCCAGTTAATCCATTTCAGACACCCAGAAGTATTAACAAAAAATATATTTTATAGAGAATAATTGTAGTTTTGAATACAGAAAACAGTAAGAAATAAATATAAAGGACTAATGAAATGGATAAATGAACATTAAAAATCACTTTTACCTTTGTTGAAGTCTTGTTGGCATATGGAAGACAGTGAGGAGGGGAGAGGGAGGAGAGTTTATTGTTTGGAGACAGGACAGAATACTTGAATATGATGCTAATATCAACTCTACGGCTTATTTATCTATCACAATTCATCTAGTATGACATAATAAACAATATTAATACCATACAAACATGATATATACTCTAGAATGAATAAAATATATTATTACGTATGTGATTAGTGGTGGCTGCAGCAGCTGCCATTCTCCCTCCTGCTGTGACTACATATCTTCCCATTATTATAAGAGAAAATGGAGTGTTTGTGAGGCTAACTGCATTACATCACAGTTTCATAAGGAAAACATTGAAGCAATGTACGTAATTTATAAATAAGAAATACTGTAGAAAAACATAATAGAGAATGTAAAGAAATAAAGTGGTTATTGTATGCATACTATAGTACACATTTACCTTGGAGGAGATACTGCCAGAGGTTGAGGGTGGTGGAAGATAGCACAGGGCAGTGTATGTTGTCAGTGGCCCTTAAACCTCCAACAACATTGGAGGATTTTCGTGTCGTCCTCTTTCTATTGCTTAATCGCTGAACTTATTTGCTACACTCTTAATGCTACACTTTATTGCTGGCTGGCACTATAGCCTTTATTGACCCCTGCTGCTTTAGCATCGTACATATCATAGAATCACTGAATCACTGAAGAATTCTATCATATTTCTCACCTTCTTTACCAAAGGGCTGGCACTGGGAACTTTCTTTGGGTCCATGGTGGCTTATTTTGCAGTCACAATCAATAAACAAGGACAAAAATTGCAAAATATTTCGGATGAATGCTTACTCAACCAGTGACACAGCCAGACTGACAGCATTCCCAGGTGGGTGGACGCATATGATACATATGATACGTATAATTTCTGGATTGAGGTACAAAATCCGGACCAAAATTTTGCCCAAAAAAGTGTTCTAAATCCGAATTGTACGATATGAGGACCATACGAACACCGGAGTTCCACTGTATATATATCATCTGCTTTTATAGTACAGTGGACCCTCGGTTTTCATGATTAACCCTTTGACTATTTTGGTCGTATATTTACGTCTTGCGCGCCACTGTTTCAGACGTATTTATATGCGTAAATTCTAGCGGCTTCAAATCAAGCAGGAGAAAGCTGGTAGGCCTACATGAAAGAGAATGGGTCTGAGTGGTGGGTGTGCACCCTGTGAAAAAAATCTGAGACTCAGTGGTGCATTGTGGAAATGCCATCTTGGTAATCCATTTTCACCATGCCTCGCAGTAAGAAGTACGTCACTCCTCGGTGGATTGGAGGTCTTTTGTTCCCAAGTGATAGCTCTAACAGCGATGGAAGTGTCAGTGAAAGTGAATTCCATGGTTTTGGAGAGGGTGTGACCGAAAACAGTGCCCAAGATAACGTAATTAGTAATGAAAACCCAGATGACCCACGACCTTCCACCTCTGATGCTGGGCCGGCTCATTCATGTTCACCTGTACCAGGACGAAAGAGGAAACTATTTGCCGCCGCCGCCGCCGCCGCCGCCGCCGCCGCCGCCGCCGCCGCCGCCGCCGCCGCCGCCGCCGCCGCCGCCGCCGCCGCCGCCGCTGCTGCCGCTGCCGCCGCCGCCGCTGCTGCTGTTGCCACTACCTCTTCCTGCCTATATATAGCCGTCCTTCTCCACTTTTGGTTAGTGTGACTTTGTAAATGGTCCAAGTCGGACCGAAACGTCGTCGTAAGCTCCTCTCTTCTATGTGTGGGTTATTTTTGTGTACCTGATAGTGAAGATGACGATATTGTTGCGATGGGTATGAATGATGTGAGTGAGGCAGCAGGTGGTGGTGGTGATAGTGATGGTGGCACGAGTCATGTGGCACCAGCAGCAAGCCACGCTACTACCGACACTGCTGACTCTGCTCAACTACAACCAGCCTCACCCAATCCCACACTCTTACAACAACCTCAACCACAGCCTGCACAACCACAACCACGTTTCAATATCCAGAACCCACCAGCAGACCGCATCTGGGATTGGCAGCAAGGTGGTGAGTTTGTTCCCAGTCCCTATGACTTTGATGAAACACAAAGTGGAATACGAACAATGCTACTGAGCTGGAATGCTTTCAGTTATTCTTCGATGAACCCTGATGGACATTATTGCCAGGGAAACCAATGCATACTATGAGTGCACCATGGCAAATACAATTCTTTCAACAAGATCACGGCTACACCAGTGGAAGGACACAACTGGGGCAGAGATGTACCTGTTCTTTGCCACAATAATGCTTATGCCACATGTGTATAAGCACACTGTCACCACATACTGGTCAACAGAATGCCTGATTTCAACCCCAGGTTTTAGTGACATTATAGGAGTAAATCGTTTTTTGATACTGTTACGTATGTTACACTTTTCAGACAAAACAAGGCCTGACAGAAGCGACAGGTTATATAAGATCAGAAATGTGTTTATGTACCTGAAACAAAAGTGTTGCATGTATTTTTATCCCTTCAGGAAGCTTGTTATTGATGAGTCTTTGATTTTGTTCAAAGGAAGACTCTTTTTCAAGCAGTACATACCAAGCAAGAGGAAACGCTTTGGTATAAAGTTATTTGTACTGTTTGATTGCAAAAGTGGTCTCGTTTTGGATATCATTGTGTACACTGGCAGTAATACATTGAGAGATACCAGGAATTTACAGTGGACCCCCGCATAACGATGGCATCGCATAGCGATTTTTCCGCATAACGATTACTTTTATCGCAAAATTTTTGCCCCGCATACCGATTAAAAACCCGCATACCGATTTTCGTCCGAGACGCGTCCAATGTGCCCTCACATGTGCCGGCCGTCCCATTGTTTACCAGCCAGCCTCCGCGGTAACATCCAAGCATACACTCGGAATATTTCGTATTATTACAGTGTTTTCGGTGGTGTTTCTGGAAAATAAGTGACCAGGGCCCCAAGAAAGCTTCTAGTGCCAACCCTGTGGTAAAAAGGGTGAAATTAGTATGGAAATTAAGAAAGATTTTGAAGGGTTTGGGCTAACCCTGAGAAGCCTATGCCAGTTGTGGAATCCATTGTGCCTACTTCAAAGATTAAGGAATGTGTGCAAGTGGTTTGAACTGCAAACCTTTATAGATGAAAATCACCCTGACACAGCTGTTGCAAGCCGTGCTTGTGACTATTTCAATGACAATGTTATGGCCCATTTAGGAAAGTCTTGAAGAAACGGGAGGTACAGAGCTCTATGGACAGATTTGTTGTGCGACAGAGGTCCAGTGACTCTGAAGCTGGTCCTAGTGGCATTAAAAGAAGAAGGGAAGTAACCCCAGAAAAGGACTTGCTACCTCAAGTCCTAATGGAAGGGGATTCCCCTTCTAAACAGTAAGAAGATAATGCTCTCCCCTCCTCCCATCCCATCAATCATCACCAGATCTTCAATAAAAGTAAGTGTCATGTAATTGTGCATGCCTTTTTCAGTTTGTGTGTATTAAAATTAACATTTCATGTGGTAAAAAAAATTTTTTTTCATACTTTTGGGCGTCTTGCACGGATTAATTTTATTTCCATTATTTCTTATGGGGAAAATTAATTCGCATAACGATTATTTCGCATAACGATGAGCCCTCTTGCACGGATTAAAATCGTTAACCGGGGGTCCACTGTATTGGGTATCTCTGGTGATGTGGTTCGAACAATGATGGAACCTTATCTTGGTAAGGGGCATATATTATATACCGAGAACTGGTACACAAGCCCCATACTCAGTGATTTCTTGCGAGTGAACATGACAGACGTATGTGGCACAGTACGTGGTAATCGTAAGCATATGCCAAGGTTCGACTCTGGCACTCGCAGAGGTGAGGTGCAGGCCTTTGCTGCCAATGACATCATGGCATTTTGGTGGCATGACAAACGTGATGTCACATTGCTGACATCGGTTCACCGAAACGAAATGGCACACACTGGCAGGCACAATAGAGAGACCAATGAACCCATTCTTAAACCTGCAGCTGTCATGGACTACAACCTCAATATGCGCTTAGTGGACAAATGTGACATGCAGATTGGGTTTGCTGATTGTGTACGCAAGAGTTATAAGTGGTATATAAAACTTTTTTTCCATCTAATTGATATTTCCATGCTAAATGCCTATAACATATACAAGTTGAGGACCAACAACAAACCAAAATATGGTGAATTTTGTTTGCCAGCCATCAGACAAATAATCGTCAAGTGCCAAGGAGCAACACCTGCAATAGACCAGTGCCCACGAAATTACCAACACATGCC